AGGAACTGAGAGGAAAGTAAGGTGGAAGGCCAAAGAGAGGTGCAATAAGACCCTTATCATAGGGATGAAAAAACTGAGACCCATGAAAGCTAACAGTTCCCCAAGTCCTCATATGCCTCAATAACAGCAGAACCACCACACAAGACTTGGCCTTAAGCTTTCTTGTGTAAGGCTCCTAACTCACTCTCCAAGAACCGGTATGCAACATTAGGGGGCATTTGATCATGCATAGCTATTTCCAGTGTTAAAAAATGTATGGCAGGGAGGCGGGAGAGATGAGAGGTGAAGGGGTTAGTAAAAGAATTAAAATGTGGAAAAAAAAGCATTAAAATGTGGTGTTTTTTTATTTATTTATTTTGGGGTCTTGAGACAGTGGTCTTGCGATACAGTTCAGGCTGGGCTTTAACTCATTAGATAGCAAGGGTTGGCCTCCAACTCACAGCAATCCTCCTGCCTCAGCTTCCTGAGTGGTGGGATTACAAACATGTGCCACCATGCCTAACAAGATGCATTATGTACATGTAACAACTCCCCAGGGTAAATGTAATCATTATGTACTACCAACATGTACTAATAAAAAAATTAAAATAAAATAAAATTTAAAATATGTATTAGAAGAGTGCTTTCTGGGACAATCTTTCAGCACAGTTCTATAGTCTCATTATTCATAATCAATTTTCAATCAATAGTTGATAACAATGAAAACAAGGAACATAAGCTAAGTACCAAATAGAACTTATCACAACAAATACAATTTATATCTCCATAAGTAAATAGATTTCTAGCTCCTGCACTACAGATGTGCCCCCGGAGAGCAGAGAGTCTGTCTCCTTACACCTTATTTCCAGTGTCACCTAAACATGTTGTAGAAAAACTATTCGATCAACCCTGTACTGTCAAATGAATACATTTATTCAAAGTGGAAATCATGAAAATACAGCCTTAACAAAGATGACCTAAAATGTGAATACCAGCTCCACATCCTCACATAGGCTGGATTGGGTAATTTCACTACACTATTACAGCCTACCTTTCCCTGGTGTAAAATAGACAGGGAAACATCCACCAAAAAACAACTGGATTATTCAGCAAAACTATAGGCAGCAGGAAGGACTCCCAATCCTTTCCAGAGCTAAATAACACCCACATCAATCACAGTCACTGGGGTGCTTGTCAACAATCCCTGGGGTAAGTAAGGCCCAAGAAACTACATGTCATCAGTGTTCATGGGATTCTTATGCAAGGAAGAGACCACCATTACACAAAAAGCCAGGATGGAGACTCGCCAGGCCTCATGGCAGAGAGAACCACTCTACTGGAGCAGAGCAAGATTCCTGCCCACAGTGGTTTTCTGTGGGAGCTGTGCCCTTTTTCACTTAATGTTGCCCCTGTCTGGGCCTGTTGGTCCTCCATTCTGCGCCTGCTGTTTTGGTCTGTTCTATTTGCTGGAGGATCCCATCCGTCCTGGGAAGAGAGCCTTTCATGAGGCTCTATAGGCAGCAGGAAGGACTCCCAATCCTTTCCAGAGCTAAATAATTCAAGAAAAAAGAAAGCTTTTCCCTTTTCTTCTTTCTCTTTTCAAGAAAGCTTAAGGCCAAGTCTTGTGTGGTGGTTCTGCTGTCATCGAGGCATATGAGGACTTGGGAAACTGTTAGCTTTCATGGGTCTCAGTTTTTTCAACCCTATGATAAGGGTCTAATGCAAGGCTTGCCAGCCTTGCATTATTCTCACCTTAAAGATGGACATAGCAGTGTTCTCAGTGTCCACAGTGCTGGGTTTTCTCCTAACCTGTCCAGGTGAACTACAAGAAATCAATACTGATTTCAATAACGGGATCACCAGAGGAGCCTGAGATCATGGAGGAGCCCCTCACAGAGACAGAGCCATGATGAGGTTGTTATCAGACTGATTTGGGTGAAGAAAGATCAAGCACTTAAGAGAAAAATATTGCCATCAAGATCAGTAGAACCAGACATGGTGGTGCACACCTGTGATCCCAGCACTTGGGAGGCTGAGGAAGAAGAATTGCATGGAGCTTGAGGCCAGTCTGAGCTACATAGTGAGCTTAAGCTAAGACTGTACTATGAAGAGAGACTTTGTCTCAAAAAAAAAAGAAAAAAAAAAGTAGAAACAGCTGAAGGAACGTGAGAAAATACAAAAATACAGTAGTAACACAATATGGATACCAGATTTAACAATAAAATATCTGATGTTCAGTCTAATTTGCATTTCAGATAAGTAATTATTTTTATTATAAGCATGTTTCCTCTAATACTTTTGCTAAACAATTTGTTGTTGATCTGAAAATCAAATTTAATTGAGCATCTTGTATTGCTCACACCAAGGGAGGAACAATTGGCAATGCTAGCCCTGCAAAATTAACAACCACAGGCAAAGCAATTCAGCTTTTTATGAGGAGCAGACCTATGATCTGGAGCTGTCTGAGTCATTCATCTAAGTAAAAAATCAGTGAAATAGGAGATTTAATGAGAAGTGTTCTCTCCCTAGCTCTGTGCTCAGAAGTAAGAGGAGTATAAATGTCATCATGAGAAATATTCCTAACCTAGAGATCCTTCACAGAGGTGGTGATAGCCACCTATCATATTCTCACACCGGCAATGTGGATATACCTTCCTCATCAGAACCTGCCGCAGAGGGCCAGGACACATAAATAAATGAATGCATGTAAATGAGTTAGAACAGTGTTTTGAACATAGGTGCAAGAATTATGATTATAATCATCATCAACAATCAGTGTTATCATCTGGGGCAACAGATGTTTGTTTTTCATGCGACCATAATACTTTAAGTGAATTCAGGACTCAGAATATGATACAGATTCCTAAGTTTATTCTCATTTCTGCCACCAACTGCTTCACTTGTGGCCTTGGGTAAAATTCTGGAGTTTCTCTACCTGGAAAATGAAAGAGAATGGGTAAAAATGGATTCAAATCTCATATGAATGGAAATGTAACATATAATTATGAAGTGTTGTCATCAATAATATTCCTTGTGCCCGGCTAAGTTATTGAATCAGAAAACTCCAGATATTTGCTAAACCATCTCACGTCAAAAATGCCTGATCAGAAAAAAAGAAAAATTTCCTGTCTGAAAACACATGAGTTTTCAAATGTTTGATACTGCCTAAGTGACTCTGACTTGTTCTCAAGTCAGACAATCTCAAGATGTAACCATCAGGAAATCTCCATCAGATGTAAAGTAATCAACAGACGATCCCCTGAAAGGGCCCTCACTACCATTTTTGCATAAGAAATCCTAGACTGACACCAGCCTAAGGAGTGGGAGATATGAAGAGGGAAACACAGAAGTTCAGCAGGGCTAAAGTCTTCCCTCCTGGGCTCTCTCACTCACAGTGGTCCATCCACCCTGTTCACTGTACTCTTTCCCTACATTTACTTGTCACAAACTCATCCTGCAGAGTACAGTATTTTTCCTACCCTTAATAAATGTAAAACTTTCCTACCATTTGTGCTTGTCTTAACCAACTCTTTGCTCAGGACACAAAGAACCTAGAAATCATCTTTAGGAGAATCCAGCATCCCAAGATCCAGTAACATGACCACTCAGAAGTGCAAGTATAAATCAATGAATAGCATCAAAGTCTACCCTTTTGTAGTTTCTTTCTGTAGAAAAATCACATCATAGTTTATCCCACTTCTTCTTTATAAGTAAATATTCACCTGTAAATTGTTAAATTCTAAGAATAGCTTAAGGGGATCCAAAATTAACTGCATTCCATTATCTTATCACCAAATCTTATCAACTCCTTGTCAAGATATTGAGGGAAAGTTTTGTTCAAAAGATAGGGGGCTGAGGAAGAGACCACTTGGATAAAGCAGAATAAAGTACTTGTTGATCAATATTATTTTGCTTTGAGGAAGCTAGAAATGATTACACTCCAAGAAATAAGCAATAATGATAAAAGATATGGTTAACAGCCAGGCATGGTGATGCACATCTGTAATCCCAGCACTGGGGAGGCTGAGGAAGGAGGATCGCCACGAAATCAAGGCCAGCCTGGGCTACATGGCAAAAACCTTTCTCAAAAAACTATTTTTTAAAAATGTGATTAATATAATGTATCTCTTTTAAGCCATGCAAACTTTCTACCTCAGAGAGGGCAATTCTGACTTTAACATTCTTAATATGCTTGTCCAGAACAAGACCCTATTTTATTTTATTTTTTATTTTTTTGATTGTTTTGAGACAAGGTCTTGGGCTGGAGTTGAGCTCACTATGTAGCCCAGGCTGGCCTTGAACTTACAGCAATTCTCCTGCCTCAGTCTCCCAAGTGCTAGGATTACAAGCATGCACCACCACACCCAGCAAGGACCCTATTTTAAACCAGTATTTGAATAGAGTTCATAATGTAAAGATATTTTTCCCCCACAGGATGTTTTAATTTCACAATAGAGTTACAAAGCTCTATTATATGACAAATGACTAAGTCAGTTATAGAGAATTTGTACCACACATTGATTACTCCATCTCTGAAATGTCTGGAACCAGCAATGTTTTAGATGTTTTCAGATTTTGGAATATTTACATATGTATAATAAGACCCCTGGAGGATGGAACCCAAGTCCAAACCCAAAGTTCATTTGTTTCATACAGCCTGGAGTTCATTTATACAACATTTTTAGTGCATTTGTATTTTGTCTGAAACCTACCGGAAGTCAGGTGTGGACTTCCCACTCTTGGCACCAGATCTGTGCAGAAGTTCCAGATGGAGTACTTTAGGTTGGATATTAGGGATGCTCAACCAATATAATCAGTGCTAGTTTATAATAACAGCCAATAGTCACCAATAAACTTTTGTGGCCAGGCCTAAAACCTACTATAGTATCAAGGTCAGATTCAGAAAGATTCTATATGGACAGTAATAACTTTCATGAAATCCAAAGAAGCCTCACTGGGTCCTTCTAAGCTGCACGCTTTTCCAAATGACTTTTCTCTGCTTGTAGAGCCTGTTCATGCCTTCAATCTTTTTTCAGTCGTTCAGCATTTGCAATGTATTCTTGACAGTTTTGTTTCTTCATTTGCACCTTCTCCCAGGCTTCAATCGCTTTGGTCAATTTCCAGGACAAAAGGGCACTTGCATGGCACAGTGGACTAGGGACCAGAAAAACTGCTGTAAGGAAACCAACTGGGTCCTTTGCAGCCCACCTCACAACAAATTCAGCCCAAGACTTTATGTCCAACATCTCTGCAGTAGTCTCGGGAAATCGTATGCTTGAGTAGTGATTCTCATTCTTTCTGGGATTATCAGGGACCTAATCAGTTTCAGATTACCCTGGATTGTGGTTGTTTTAATTCTAATGTACACTCCTGAGAAGTTTAAATTTCCTTTGTCTTTCCCTCCTTGCTAATGCCTCCCCATTCCTCAGAAGTGCCGCCAGCCCAAGGATCCACAGCCACCCCTGCCCCCGGCCACCGCCACAGGGCATGGATCCCAGAGCAAGGCCAAGAAGCCAGGCAGTGGACACAGCTGCACCTCTTCAGGCATAGACAGCCACACCAGAGCCATCACCCCAAGCGCTGGGACTCCTATAGTTTAATGAACAGTTGTTTTGTAAATTACAGACTTTAATATAACTTGCTGTTTTCTTAATCCCCCTAAAAACACCCTCTTAGAATGTGGAAAATGTTCCATGGGAATAATTTATATGAAAACTGACTTTGGGAGTGGATTTTTTTGTTGCATTTTTATTGTGGTAGAAAACAGCAGGCTTCTATCATCATCTGCCTGTCTTGGTTACTTTTCTCTCATTGCTGAGACAAAATACCTGACACCCAAAATTAAGGAAGGAAAGGTTTATTTAGCTTAGTTTGTGGGGGTTCCAGTCTGTACTTGGCTGGCTCCATGGCAGAGCAACACAGCAGAGGGCAACTGTTCATAGCGGCAGAAAACAGCAAAAGCAACATGGGAATATAGCTCAGTGGCACAAGTGCCTGTCTAGCAAGCGCAAGGTCCTGAGTTCGATTCCTGGTACCAAAAAAAAAAAAAAAAAAAGGAACATGAGCAAAAAGGAGAGGGGGAGAAAGCCTCTTTACCTCCCTTACATTGCTTGCAAACTACCCACCCCAGAGCTGGTACAGCATTCACACCCATAATCCCAGCATTGGACCATGAATTCATCATAAACTCTAGAAGCTCGGCCCATGGCTGCATGAGGCTTCAAGGGGGACATCCAGACATGAAGCATAGCACTCCCAGTTGTAGGAGCACACCTCTGCTGAATGCTAAGTGGAGAAAACGAAAGCAGATGACTTCTATGATGGAATCGAGCAACTCCATAATGAAGATAAGGCTCAAAACTGTGGGTTGTGTGTGTGGCACTCACTTATAAATACAAGAGGGACGCACTTCCCCTAGTTCACCTTGCAGACCGTTTTGGTCATGTGGTTACAACAGTGTTACCTTCCAGTGCAAACTAAAGCTGACTACTTCAGGAACAACCTGTCAAACCAGGAAAGGATATAGAGGGAAATATACCTTATCAGGCTGATCTGAAGTGAGCCAGACTTAAAAAAAAAAAAAAAAAAAAAAAACTTAATTTATTTGTGCAGTTAATTATAACTCAGCATTATTTAAGGGCTAAAAAATAATTACCAAATTTTTTTTAAAGTAAATTTCTGGCCAGGGATATAACTCGGTGGCACAGTGACTGCCTGGCAAGTGCAAGGTCCTGAGTTTGATTCCCTGGTATAAATAAATAAAAAGTGTAAATTTCTTTGTAATATGTCAGTTCTGCTCTTTGCTAAAATGTATCTTGCCCCATGTTAAAAAAAATCACATTTAGTGTTTAGGAAAAAAAAAATTCCAAAATTTAAACTTTTCCCCCAGCATCCTGATTTAACTTTCCTGTTGCTTCTCCATTGACTACTTTATTAATTTTAGACATGTTGATTTACGGGCCTGCCCTCCACCAAATAAGTAATCCCTGAAATTTTTTAAAAGCAGAATGAATGTGAAAGCCAGGTTTAATCCATGGTTCTAATGCCAATTAGTCTGCAGAGCGTACTTTGGAACTTCCCAGATGAATCAGAGGCGGTAACCAAGAAGTTCTCACATTAACACATTGCTCTGGTGTTTGTCTCATCTCAGTTTTTAGGGTTTAGAAATAAAATTACTATTGTTTTTTATCTTAAATTTTTAAAAGGCATGTAACTAGAACACTTAGATTTGTTGAAAGTATTTTTGACATTTGTATAAAAGAATTTATGACAGAGTTAATATATCCAGGTGCTCACCAAAGAAACATATGTGTAACATATAATTATATTTTTGTAATCAATTTATTTCCACCCATTTATAAGCAGGAGGAGAAGGTCTAGATGTTGGGACAGCTCTATGATTTGAATCTGTAACATATTATTCAGTATCCTAGTTTTATGTTAGGCTATTAGAATTTTCTAATAAAAATTATTTTGTCTCCCAACATACCTACGTGTATTTCTCTTAATGATCCCTGAACCCTGCGCTCCCTTTGCAGCCTGAAAAAGATATTATAGTCAGAACCAGGTACTGATGATCAAAGCCTCTGGTAGCAATAAAAAGTTGTCCTAATATATGTATTATATATATGATAATGCCAAAGTGAGTATTATTTTTAAGTATATGGTTTCTCATTGTTAAGTACATTCACATTTTTATAAAACATCTCCAGAACTTACTCTTGAAAAACCAAAACTCTAGCAATTACACAGCTTCCCTTTCTCCCCCAGCAGAATAGAAATCTGGCCATCTATAAATCAAATATATGAATTTTTAGTTGCTAGTTTATAAGATGTGAAGTCATGGGAAACATTAAACTCATAAAATTTAGGGGAAGAGCAACATTTCCACCCTCCACTTGAATTGTTATTAATAGTTGAGTGGGATTTTGTTTTCTTTTTGATTTGATTTTTGGCTTTGTATTTGAGAGAGAGTCTTGCCTCTGTAGTGTGGAGGACCACCTAGGTGACTCTCCTTGAAAGAGGAGCAATTGCTTCCATTTTGGCTGAGCCTGACCCTATTTCCATGTATTGATATGTACATAGCTGGTTGGGACTTTTCCTTATCCCTTCAATTGGCTTTCAGCAATGCATATTGGTCCAGCTGGTCTGGTCTAGCCAAGGGGCTGATGGTAATCTTTGGAGATGACAGGCATGTTTCCCCAACCGCCCCCCTTGTTCCCATGAGTGAGCCAGGATGAGGCAGGATGTGCGAGCAAATGCTCCACACTCTCCACTGGGATGGAGCCTTGGGACAGAGTCTATGACTTCCTGGGGCTTCCAAGATTACACATCAAAGCTGAAGCACTGACCCCAAAACATTAGGTACTATCTCAATTGTGTTATACACATTACTTTTTCTGCATATCCTTCTCTCTGCATTGGCAGAGGTGATTTCAGGCCTCCTAGCCCAGCGCATGGCACTCACCCACTTCCCACAGTTCTCACAGTCACTCATCCTCAAGCCACTCCCTTCTTCATGAATGAATAAAACCCAGATTTGGCCTTGGGTCAAGGCCTTTATTCTGGATAGCCATCATTGTGGCTGGACTGAGGACCCACTGGTTCCCCATAACTACAAATATGCTTTAGTGTCTTTATTCTTGCCATGGGTTGCACTGGAAGTGGTAGATTGGAATTAACTCAATAGAATGCCAGTAACTTTTCATTTGATTACAAATATAAACTTCCTGCGCCACAACAAGAACTGGGAAGGGCTCTCTATATGTAGTCCAAGCTGGCCTGGAACCCCCTATGTAGCTCTGGTTGGCCTTGAATACGTGATCCTCTTGCCTCAGCCTCCTAAGTGCTGGGAGTACAAATGTGTGCCACCAAGTCCATTGAACTCTAAATTTTTACTTGAGTAGCAAGTATGCAGCCTAACTTGTGTAGGTTTTAAAAGTCTGTTAACTGGAAGAGTTTGTTATTTCATTTTGAGCTGGAGGGGAGAAATATATTTGAAATACCAGAGTTAGAGTTGAATTTATGCTAAATTAGGAGAGTAATAGATTTTCCAAATTATATGTATCTTGTTGAAAATATGAATTGTCTTTTATTTGTAAAAGATTCAAAAAAGATAATCTGGTTTCAATTTACTGAGTAATATCATTGGAAAGCTTACTGATGTTGCTTGATAATCTTATATTTTGGGAATATACAGCTATGACTATAGCATTATTTATAAGTACAATTGTACTTTTTAAAACATTAAATTTGCTGGGGAGATAGCTCAGTGGCACAGCACCTACCTGGCAAGCACGAAGTCCTATAGTGGATTCCTAGTACCAACAATAAGTAAATAAATAAAAATTAAAAATAAGATACTAAATTTGAATGAGCAATCCCAGAGATAGCTCAGTGGCACAGCACCTGCCTGGCAAGCACGAAGTCCTATAGTGGATTCCTAGTACCAACAATAAGTAAATAAATAAAAATTAAAAATAAGATACTAAATTTGAATGAGCAGTCCCGGAGCCTAAGCCATCGACAGGGGAGGAAAAGAGAGGAGAGAGCAGCGGCCGGAGGAGTTAGCAGCAGCTGGAGGAGTTAGCAGCAGCTGCAGACCATGGGGCTGGTAGCCCCTGCAGAGGTCCCATCTGCAGCAGCAGGAGGAGCTCCAGGAAATGGAAGAAAAGAGGCTGCCAGACAAAGGGCTGAAGGTCCACAAAGGCCTCTGGGGTCACACTCTGAAGAAACAGGAGATGAAATGCCTGAGCGACTGAAGAAGATGGGTGTTAATAAGACTGAATCCTTACTCCTCTTCCCAGAGGGTGGGGGATTCACAAGCCCAACAGACTTTTATTGGGACATCATCCTATTCTCAGCAAGGCTATGGTTGTGAATCAAAACTGTATAGCCTTGACCACGGCCTTGAGAAACCTCAAGACAAAAAAAAAAGAAACTCTGGTTTTGCCACCCTCAAAAGAAAAATACATTAAGCGTGGAAAACCTAATAGGTCCATCCACAATGACCAGCAGGTGCAAGAGCTCCCCGCTGGGCAGGATGTCAGAGAAATCAATGCATTCGTGGAGGAATAAGAGGGCACTTCAGCCTTAAAGGAGCTTTCTTGGCCAGCCAGTGTGGCTAGACCAGAAAGACGTCCGGGCTTTGCAGAAAGCTATGTCTGCTCTGTAAGAATTGTGCTGATGTGAAGCTATATGTCAAGAAACTTGTTTTCCTCTTTATTGTGCCGTTTTGGCAGCAAGA